GCATAATAATCTGTACCTGCAGAATTTTTTACCCTTCTGACTTCATATTCGGCATAGCTTATGAGCTGCGGGTAAAATATGACACCTTGCAACGTGGGAGCAATGTCATATGACACTGTGTACGGATTAACGACCAAACAAAGCTTTCTGTTAACCCTTTCACGAATAACCCTGAATAATTGAGTAAAACTCCGAAATAATATACCGCCTATATAATAAGACTATTTTAATTAATAGTGATGGACTTCAGTCATGTTGAAACTGAGAAAATCATGCTCCGGCTATAATTTATCCATCACCCCCCCCCCCCCACCCCCACACACACACACACACACACCGAAAAAAACAACATTTACATAAATAAATAAGTAAATGAATGATTAAAGAAATTAATTGAATTAAGTTAAAAACTAAATCAATAGATAAATAGATGAAATGTCCACTCCGTTACCTAGTTTAGAGCTTTAAAAACGCACTGTCAGAAATGTTCTAGATAGCACTGTAAAAGTTAAATACATTGCTTTCAGGGCACCCCAGTTCATGAGGAGACAGCCTCGTGGCGTCGGTGGCCTAGTGGTTTTGCTCACGGACTCGCAGCCGTAAGGTCGTGGGTTCGAATCCCTTTTGGCGCCCGTCGTTGTGTCCTTGGGAAAGGCACTTAACACGGATTTCCCCCACTTTACCCACGTGGAAATGGATACCCGGATGTATATACAATGAAAGAGCTTGTCTGTTTGTTAGTGTTTGTAATATCCGCAGCTTCCCGAAAAGCTGGGAACGATTTTTATGTGCTTTAAGACCAGCCGAGGTAATAATAGTTGTACAGCACAAAAAGCATGTTGTAGAGCGTGAATATACACTATATAAATGCAATTGTTATTATAATCTTTATTTCAAAAGCTGGTAGCTTTAATTACTTTTGTACTGTTTGACCTGTCTAGAAATATTATTATTATGCCATTATGGCTGTATTTACCACAACACAGGGTATATCCATCCTGTTCCCTCTTATCGTATGTTTTCACTTGTGTTCCCCAAAAACATGTTCAAGGCTATTTTCTAAAATTGGTCTATAGAGGAGGATTTAGAAGATGTAAATATCGCTTGTGCAGTTGACTATTCTTTTGAAAAGGTGACAGGTACTATAGCTTTGCTTGAATCTCTCTAGGATAAACATTTTATATGTGCCTGTACAAACGAAGATAGACGTCTCAGATCTGAAGGGGTTAAGTAAGTGTGTGTAATACTGTGTGATGATGTAAGCCAACATCAGTCAACTCTGCTCTACCGATCACTTGTCGAAGACAACCGCATATACAAATGACCACATCCCGCTTAGCCTCGTGTGTTTTTAACATAAATTAATGTCACGAAGAAAATGTCTAAGAGGATTACCCATCTAAGACTATCCCGTTTTCCCCAACAATGGGTCTCAGACAAGTTTGACTGTTTTCCCGTTTTTTTCTTTTATTATCCGTTCTTTGACTTACCATCTCTCGCAAGCTTTTCGATTTCTATAATTTCTGCCTTTTGTGTCTGTCTCTCTGCCTTTGCATAATTGAATATTAGTGAACATAGTACGTGTTATAAGTACAATTTGTATATGCAGCCATGTTCCTTTCTTCATTTATTGTCATTGCCGTCTCCCCCCCCCTCTCTCTCTCTCTCTCTCTCTCTCTCTCTCTCTCTCTCTCTCTCTCTCTCTTTATCTCTCCCTCTCTCTCTGCCTCCCTGTTTCTCTCTCTCTCTCTCTCTCTCTCTCTCTCTCTCTCTCTCTCTCCCTCTCTCTCTTTCGTTAGTCCGCTTCCTGTCTGACTCTGCAAATATCTTTGTATCTTTTTCTCTGCATCTCTCTCTATTTTTTTCTTCCTTTCTCTCGTCTTGCTCTATATCTCGCACGGTATTGATTACATTACACATACACACACACACACACACACACACACACACACACACACACAAACACACAAACAGACCCACAAACACACACAGACAGACACATGATCCTCGCACACTTACACCCACACCCAAAAACGCCCATATAATGCGCTCGAACAGAAAAATATAAGCCCTGCAATTACATGTGAACCCAGTCTCTAATGATGTCTGGGCTACAATAGCTATTCTATGCCTTCATCCTTTAAGTCTAGACCTTTGCATAAGGACAAAATACAAAGCAAAGGATAAGGCTATTTGTAATGCATTACTTTCTCTTTCTACCTTTCTGTTTTTCGTTCTCTTACTATTTCTGTCAGTCCGTTCTCACTCTGTCTTCTCCCTCTCCTTATCTGCTTATCTGTCTGTCTGTCTGTCTGTCTATCTGTCCGTTCACCCATTCTCTTTATCTATCTATCTATCTATCTATCTATCTATCTATTTATCTATCTATCTATCTATCTATCTATCTATCTATCTATCTATCTATCTATCTATTCTTCCATATGTCCCTTTCTTTCGTCTCTTTTCATAATTACTACCTTATGCTGACGCCTGTTTAAATCGCCTTGCACCGTAACTTTAAGTACCAGTGGACATGATAACATTATTTAACGGTGACCTTGGTTAACAAAACAAAGGACAAGAATTAAATCCTAATATAATCATAAAATGTTAATGTTTTTCTCCTCAGCTCGGTGAAGTGTTTTACGTTTGGGAGGGCAGTTCACTTAGAAATAAAATGGAAAAAACCCCAACTCTTATCACAAGTTAAGAGTATGGCTTATTAAGCAAGTTCAGGGTCTCTTAGTAAACTTGAGCTGGGGAATAATCATTATCCAGCATCAAAACAAGTTATAATTCCTGTATTTTTTTTTTCTAGAATTAAAAGGACGCTTTACAACATGCATCTGCATACGAAAGTCTGAGACAATTTCGACTGTACATGGCCGTCTGGCAAAAATCAAGGTTTAATCTTTAAAAAAATATTTTTGTGCAAATGACGCAACATTGGGCAAAACCCACAACAAAACAACTCCCAAACTTCACACAAAAAGACTTAGCATCTTAACATTAAATTTAAAAAGTTATAGAAATCCCAAAGTGCCAAAAAAGAGCTCTCGTTTATCTATGTAAAAAAGAGACAAATTGGGAATTTAAAAAAAACAAACCCAAGTCCTGTTTCAAGAAATACGACAACTATAAATAAAAACTAAAGAGCGACAACGAGACAAACTTGAATAATAATAGAATATAAACGATCTCAGAGAAATGTAAACCGCCAAATTAGTTATACTAGAAATACTGCACCTGGCTTGTGCAAATACGCTGATTGCTTGGTTTGGACTTATTTCACCCCACTTAAGTTTAATGAGTCGGACTTTTGCGAATTGCCACACTGACATTTGCTGTTGGTAATCAACTGCCTGAACTTCCTTTGAGGTCCCCTAACCCCCAACCCCGCGGTAAACACCAGTAGTTGGAAATAGCTAAAGCCTGTAAATCTGTTCGTTGCATACTAACTACCTAAAACCCAGCCATAATCATAATAATTATCAATGACCCCAGTTTTCAACCATACATATTCCTTACAGCACTTAATCTATAAATGCCTCTCTAACATAGATTTAATTACTAGTTTACAAGAATAACTAAAAGGAGAAGGGGTGTATAACATGCATGTACAGTGCATGCAGAGCTCAAAGCAAATTAAGAAACACAAGTCCCTCCCCAGAACAAAACAGAAAAATAAAAACCAATAACAACAGAAATGACTTCAGCAGCAACAACAATAATACAATATGAGCTTCGAACTACATCTGAATGGTATTTCATAAAATATTGACGCCCCTATCAACAAAATATACATGATTTATGAGGCGTGCTACTTCGACCCTGCCTGGAGGACCAACATGGATTGGGTGCGAAACAGTAGTTATAATAATTCTTGTTTAATATATTGCGCCCATTTTGCGCTCCAAAGCAAACTTTAGGCGCTTTACAATTCTAATCAGGCCTTCTACCCCTCTAGACCTGATAGCATTCTGAAACGATCTCAGCTTCTTGAGAAGCAGGCAGTATCAAAGCATAATAACAAAGATACTCCGCATGATAATACACTCCCCACGCAGGAATCGAACGCATATCTTCTACGCGCAATAGCAAATAACCTAACCATAACCCTTTAGCACCGACTCGCGAGAGGCCATCTTGCAAACAGGCACAGATTTCTTAAGATTATGTCTGACCATAGACATGCATTACAATATTCCCTACCCTGCACTCTGACATAATTTCGGTTCACTGTTATAGTGCAATATTACTGGATGCGAGATGACATTTAATTTTTAATGTCTCCGTAAAACATTTACCGTCACAAGACAAGCAGAAATGACGAAGTAAGAGCGACTATTGGCGCCGGGTCCTGCCTGCATTTCATGGGAAAAATAGAGAATAAAATAGTTTGGCCACCTGTAACCAATGTTTTCTGGCCAGCTAGTCTCGAGACTCGAGAGCCTATAACACCAAGCTCACACGCTGTAAAGGAAGAGATAAGTCATGCAAAAGATAGGTTGAAGGTGTCAAGGAACCCCTGGGTAATTATAATATCTCATCAAATTTTGAAAGAGCTGCAGAGCTGGCCTACCGTAAAAATATGCATCTCCCCTCGACGCTTAACGGCAACAGAGGATGAAAAATTAAAAAGTAAAAGTAAAGTACTCTAATAGTGCACAAAAGACTAATTGAAACCAAATGAGAGAAACGAGGGGAAAATGCCCGTAGCACTCGTGAAAAGCGAGAGTGGTGTTTTGCATGCCGTTCATTAGGCGCCCATAGTGCGATTGTTTCGCGGCGCACTTTTATTAGAGTGCAAAGTGCGGTGGCCACGACAGTGCAGACCTGGGATATTATATTTCAAGTCTAGAGGGATGACAGAGAGTTCTCATATAACACAGTCTAGTCTGGCCTCACTCTGCACCAGGATTTAGCATTGGTTTCTGTTGCTGCTCTTCTTTCCTTCTCATGGTGATATTATTTACATCAAACTTTTTGCTTCTCTTCAGGCGACTATCGAGGACGATTTCAAAATTACGGATCCTCTTTTCCTGCTGGATTTTGTCGAAGGTAAGTTTCCTTTTTTCCAAGACAATAGAAAATTAACCTTATGATCCTATTGTGATTTTTCTACTTTCGTACTTGACAGAAAATGTACCTTATGATCATAATTTTATGATTGTTTTGTACATTCTTTTTTTTCAACTTGTAAGTACGCTGACCCAGAGCATGCTTAGCATTCTTTTTCTGTTCTACCTTTTTTACATCCCGTGTCTCTGACTCTGACTCTCTCTCTCTCCCCCTCTCTCTCTCTCGCCCTCTCTCTCTCTGTCTCTCTGTCTCTCTCTCTCTCTGTCTCTCTCTCTCTCTCCCTCTCTCTCTTTCTTTCTCTTTCCTTCACGTAAAACACATAACACAAACACACACATACGCACACACACACACACACACACACACACACACACACACACACACACACACACGCACACGCATACCCACACACATACACACACACAGTCTCTCTCTCTTTCTCCCTCTCTCTCTCTCTCTCTCTCTCTCTCTCTCTCTCTCTCTCTCTTTCTCTCTTTATTTTTTAAACCTCACATACACATACACACACTCTCTTTCTCTCTCTCTCTCTCTCTCTCTCTCTCTCTCTCTCTCACACACACACACACACACACACACACACACACACACACACACACACACACACTCACACACACACTCACACACACACACATACATACATACACATACATACACACTTACACATACACACATACACACTCACACATACACAGACATAAACACAGGCACGCGAGCGCGAGCGTGCAAAGCCCTTTCCAATTAGCCTGGCCGCTTCTCTGTATTCTCACTAACTGTCTGACCGTCTTTATCTCTATCTGCTTTTGTCTATGTCTCCCTTACTTTCGCTTACCTTGTGTGTGTTTTTGAGTGTGTGTGTGTGTGTGTGTGTGTGTGTGTGTGTGTGTGTGTGTGTGTGTGCGCGCGCGTGTGTGTTTGTATCTGTTCCGTTCACTCTGGGGATATATCTAATTCGTACGTGTGGGCTCGTGCATGTGACCACAACTGATTTTATTTTGTCCATTTGAAAAGAGCACATTCTTATTCCCTTCCAACACTGAAGAAAAACAACCACGGTCCAAAACTAAAAACACGGAAGATGATAAACTTTAAGAAACAAGCTAAGTAGTGACAGATAGGAGCTAATGTTCTCAATAACGAATTCAGAAAGAATTAATTTAGTTCTCACATCGTAATTTTGCTTTTAGCTCTACTGTGAATTCGTCTCGCATGTACAGTATAGGAGACCCGAGTTTGATTCCCAAACCAAGCGTATTTTTATCGAGTGTCTTGGTCTTTCTACTGGGGTGTTGTATGCTGCTTGGCCCTGACAGGCTGGGTCGTGAGCCCGCCTCCTAAATGATCTAAATTCCGTCGACAAATATCTACATCAAAATACGTTTCTTTGGTCTCTTACTACCTAAACGAATATGTAACAAAATGAGGTAATCACCTTATTTCATGCATACGGTGGTCTCCAATCTTTGTGGACCCAAATATGAGTCTCTGTGACGTCATGCACCAGAGACCCTCTTGTCCCATATAAGTTTGTATTATGTATGTATGTGTGCTTTTGTGTGTGTGTGTATGTGTGTGTGTGTGTGTGTGTGTGTGTGTGTGTGTGTGTGTGTGTGTGTGTGTGTGTGTGTTGTATGACAAGGAGTAGCAGTAGAAAGGCTGCAAAAAAAGTCAAGAGCCCAGAGGAGGGGGCAAAGGAAAGGGGGGGGGGGTGAGGGTCAGAAAGTGGAGACGAAAGCAGACTGCAGAACATGGTCAGAGAGGTTAAAGAAAAAGAAAACAAGAGAAAAAAAATTATGTCGCTGTCAGGTTTCGAATTCGGGACCTATTTAATGAGAGGCGAACATTGTATCTCTAGACCACGAGATCACCCTAATCACTGCGGAAGTGTTTTCTATTATGGAAATGATAGATAATCGACCTTATTAAACGTCGTGAACTAGTTCACGTTCGAAAAGGATGTCATCGATAGTCATGAGATCGATCTTATCAAATACGTTTTTACTGCAGCAAATCTTTTTATTGAGTATGAGCTCTTTTCAAGATGTACTTTTCAGAATAGGCAAAAGCGCTGAAAGAAAAGAGGTCATGATACAAAGAAGACTTGCCACAGGCGACCCTTTTTACTGCTCACTTTCCACTCATGGACATTTGGAAAGTTAGTGAAAGGCAAAGACAAAGAAAGGACGGGCAATAAAGCGACATACGTGAGTTGGTGGGCAGAGAGGTTGAAAGAAAGATGAGATGAAGAAAGACTTCATCAAATAATAACAGCTTATGTTTTTATTGCCTTGTGGTCTTTTGTACGCATCTGCTATTGACGTTTTCCACAGAGCGCCTAACGAGAGTGGTCGAGGCAAATAACTGTGTTGTCCTGGTTCTTAATTGTTCTCAATCCCGTTTGGATTGACATGCGTAAAATGAAAAGAGACAAGAATACACAGAGCTTTTGGTATCGTAAAGCATTCTCTTTGTTTTCGGCTTTAAGTTACTAAAAACAACAAGATCGACCAATCAGGAGCGAGTAATATTACTCGTCAATGACTTGTTGACAAGCATAGTAAACGTAAGTGTATGAGGGATTGATATACTAGAGCTTGCCTGCTCGCGCTGTTTTTGGTGTTTTTTTTTAGAGCATAAAGCGTTTTCTATGTTATCGGCCTTTGGCATGCAAATAGAAAGAAAATAGATCTCCTACTTTGGAAACACATTTAGACCCTTGATTGCCCACATAACTGAGGAATACGGTTAGAAAAAAAAGTCTGTTCAAAATCTGTTTAAGTTCATTAAAAGAGTTCTAAAGGTCTGCTCAACGTCCGTTCAAAGTCTGATTATACTCAGTTTAAAAGGTGTCCAAAGTTTGTTCAAGGTCTGTCTAAAGTCAGTCCAAATTTTGTCCAAAGTTTTTGTAAAGTATGTCCAAAGACAGCAGACGGTTCATTCACAACGGTGAGTAGTGTTTGGGTTAATTATAAATGTTCCACGATCTCACAGGCAAAATGTTATTATTTATAGAGGCTGGCTGTTTGCTTCTTGCCTGTTCATTGTGAAAACTCGGATGTATGGGATTCATCACATAACAAAACAAAGTTACTGAACAAAACAAATTCTCCTGACGAGAGATGAGTTTGCGTCATTTGCATGAAAGGCAAATTAAAGCTTAGCAATTACACAACAGATGCAGGTACTGCTTGTAATGCGTTAGCGTGCATTTTATATCCTGTAATGATATATTATCATGTGGGTATTTAGGTCAATGAACTCCAGAGAATGCGGGTTTTAGTGAGTACAAAAAAAGGGCAAACACTCTTAATGTGTTGTGAAATCTAAATGGATCTTCAGGACTTGGATATTTATATGCCTTTTCTATTTCATCTGTCTGTTTCAAAGAGATCTTTGCAGACTTCACTCTCCAGCTAGCTGTGATAATTTAATGCCTGGTTAGAGGTTCTAAAGTTGATCGGATCAACATAACTCATGCAAACATTTGTATCCTAGCCAACGTCAGTTTTCATTTTTCTTCCTGGAATTTGAAAACTTGTATGTTGGCTAATGCTACTTAAAAGGCAATAAATTTAGATTGTTTGGGGTTTGTTTTGGTTCAAGCTTGCAATGTCTCTCGTCTTAAGACTACAATTTTGTTAGCCCGAACTTGCACATCATGTCATTGTGGCCGATATGTCAATGTGCCCGCCCTGTAGGCTAAATTGCTGCGAAACAATGTGGTTATGGGCTGGTAAATCTTGCTGTTGCTTCTTCTGTGGATGATAATGATGACAATCATTTTAAAAAAAACTATAATAATGACCTTAACAAAAACAGTGTGTGGTTAACTGCAATTTTTATTGTGATACAGTTGTAAGAATAATGCTAAGTAAAAAGAGAATAGTGCAACAAAAAAGATTTTTATCCTGTGAGGGGTACTGGTGACTTCTTACACCGCACCATAGTCCAAGCCTTGGTTTATCGTCTTGACCCCTAGGCCCATTGGCTTGAACATGCCTCCTTTCTGAAGACCCTGGTATGGCTATTAATAAATATTTTAAAATTATATTTGCGTCTTGTCTGACAAGAATGTGCCTTAATATGTATAGAGCTGAAGATCGGTGCCTTCTACCCATCGGTGTAGACCTAAGGCTCGCGGACATTGGTAAGATAGCGAATCCTATCTGCACATATGTGGTGCAGATGTTTTTGTTTTAGTATGTTTTAGTAGAGGTTTTACAGTGCTCGTAACTGCATAAGATCATATGAGCGCCAAATTGCAGATGTAAGGCGCCTTACCGCAGCACGCAGAAGAACCGGATTCAATTCCCGTGAGGTGAGACATTTTTTTCCAGTATCTTGGTTCTTCGGCTGGGACATTGAATACCTCTCTGCCCGGTTGGCCCTGACAGGCGAGATCAAAGTCTACCTCCTAAACGATCTAAGAAAATCAATGACGTCTTCGTCAATCATCCTCAAGGTCGCCTGCCTCACTGCTATTTATGGGATCTCTGATTGTCAGTTATTCTATAAAGTTCTTTCTTTTTTGTCCTGTTCATGTAGTTAATGACAGAAAAGAGTTTCGAAAATCGTGTATTATATCAGTTCATATCATGTTCGCGTAATGCACAAAGGTTCCAAGCAAAAGAAAAACAAACAAACAAAACAGATAGCAAAGCAAGAGGAAAATATTAAACTGCGTTCTTTTGTATGAAGACTTCTACAAATTACTCTTAAACACAAAGTACACGTTGAAACTTGCAAAAGATAATAAATATGCGTTTCTTGTCTAAACAGTATGGACGTACTCTGTAAAACAAAACTGGCAAAAAACACAAAGCCAGACTCGATTGTTTTTCGTTGGTTTTTTTTTTTCAAACAAAAAATGAAAGATAACCTTCTTATCAAAGGATATTGTAACATGCTCTTTCATTTCGCAAATAACAAGGTACTCTTGGCTGTTACGGTAGTGTGGTCCT